CAAGATAAGGGCAAGCGTGAATGCTCATCCCACCCCCTCCAATCTTCTGGCAGTTTCCCCCCTATAATTTACAGGGGCATTTGCTTAGATCCCACAGTCCTTGCCCTATGACCTTGGTACACAGAACATGAGGGATTAAAGATAAGCATGAATGGATTAACACACTGTGGTACATGTGTACCATGGAGTACTATTCAGCCATAAAAAGATGGAGACTTTATAACTTTTGTATTAACCTGGATGGAGTTGAAGAACCTTTTCCTTAGTAAAATATCACAAGAATAGAAAAGTCAGTATCCAGTGTACTCAGTACTAATATGAGGCCAGTAGATGAACAACTACAGGCCCACAGGAGAGAGAAAAACATGATTAAATTCAAGTGGGGAGGGAGGGGGGAGAGGGGAGGAGAGGAGAAGGGAAGAAGATTGGAGAGCTCTCACCAATGTAGGGTATGTGGGGCACCTCCTGGTGAAGGGCTCCTCTACAACTTGGACTCTACCTAACAAACATGAATAATGTAACCTAATCATATGTACCCTCATTTTAACCTGAAAAAAAAGTAGAAAAAAGAAAGAAAGGAAACAGGTAAGAAAGGAAATTGGATGCTGAAGTGAGTGACCGTCCGTCTAAAAACAAAGGGAACTGCATCCCGGTGATAAGTAGGGACACTCACTATGTGCTGGGATTCACAGCCGAAGGTCTGCAGTGAGTCAGCCAGGCAGAATGTTAGGTCACCGTCTTGTCCGGGTTCAGAATAAACACATTGGCATGTCCTTTCAGCACTAGGACTTACGAATCTCGGGACACTTTGCCTACTTAAACAATTCTAGGTTAGTATTATGGGGGAGGAGGTAGGTATCTGAAACCTATTCTTACCCAGTCAGTGGACCTTTTGGCAGACTAAGAAAAGATTCTTAAAATTTCCTTCCGATGATCTGGGAAAGAATGGTGGATACCAACTTATCATTAAGAAAAAATACGTTTTTATCACTCTCTGATAAAAATAGAGGGCAAAGGGTAATATGTTGTTTTCTATAAAAGTCTAGAAGATCAAGCCCTGTAATCTGGAAAGAGTGAGATGATTTTCTAATTAAAACACAAAGGGAAAACATGTCATTACAATTTGGGGACATTTGAACAAAGAAAATAACAGTGTCTAGATAGATCTCAGTCATTCAGGAACAATGTGGAATCAGAAAAACAGAAGAGTAAAATCCTCAGCTAGTTGGAGAGAACTGCAGGCAGGACACACTTGCCGGACAGTCGCTGGGCACACTTGCCAGACAGTCGCTGGCTACCTGGACAGTGTGCACACTAGCGGCAGCTCCACCTTCTTTGATATCAACAATGAAGGCATCGACAGTGAGATTTCTTAACCACAGAGATGCTTGCTAAAGTTCTGGGTCAAGAGATATTTTAGTTATTCTGAGTCATAATTTTAAATGTACACTTACTTTAAAAGTATTTTAAATCCAGTTGGCGCAATTAGAAAACACACACTGAATTCCACGTACTGTTAGTTTCACAAAGGTGCAGCTCATTACCACCCCAAATGCTGCTTTATTTTGGCCATTTGTATGTGGATCTGAAGGGGCAGATTCTTGAGATGCTGGGACTGACAAGTTGTGATAGTGCAGTTTATTAAACTAAGAAGATCTTAAAAAAAAGAAAAGACTCACACTAGCCCGGTAACAGCTGTGGCTCTGTTAACAGACTTTCCGGGGGCCAATAGCAGTCTTCACTACAGCCAATCAAGTTCCATTACACCATGACCTCTGCCTTTCTCTTTCCGTCACAAGCATTTGACAGACAAAAATTATTCAGATTCTAAAAGGGACTGGACTCTCGCTGAATTAATTAAACTCAAAGAGCACAAAGCAAAGCATACAAATGAAGTAGGCAGAGTGATAATCACCAGAAGTAGATTAAGTGTTAAGAAGAAAAGGGAAATGGAATACTATCGTCCAGTGTCCTACTCGCTTTAGAAATGATCGTTCTGGTGTTTGAGTGGTTCCGGGCGAATGTTGGCTGTGCGAGCAGAGCACTCGGTTCAGGCCTTCCCCGCCGTGTGCGCAGACGTGCATGGACCAGCCTGCCTGCCCACCCTTACTTTCATCTGCAGTCATAAGTGGCCAAGTGACAGTGCTTTAGAAATGCGGGCTGTGATGCAGAGCGCACCTGTGGTCCCCACACCCGAGGAAGGGCCTCTTCACTTGAACACAATCTCCACCATCCCTGGGGGCAGATGGAGGCAACTGTGAAGGGGCAGGGAGTGAGAGGGGGGTGCTGATGGCCGATTAAAGCGTGTCCAGGCCCTGAGGCTTGTACCCTCTAACTGCCCTCTCCTGCTCCCTCACCAGGCTAATTGGGTGGTGCATTTCCCCCTCTTTCTCTGAAGCTTTTATATTACTCTTTTGTGAATTATTCTTTCCTCCAAGCTACTTGTGACATACCTTTCGGTGATTTTAATCTCATTGAAAGAATTGGGGACAGAGAGAGGCTGATCCAGGGGAACGTAAATGAATCTGGGGCTCTCTCTTTTATTAGGGATGGCTTTATTTTAGAGGCTCCATGTTGCTATTAAAGAAAAATTTCTAAACAGCAAGAAAACAGTGGCTGCAACAAAAATTACATTTATTAGGCTTAAGAGAGGAATTAGTTATTCCTTGAAGAAGCTGCTTAGGATGGCACTAGCTTTCTAGAATGAACTGGAAGTTGGAGGGGTGGATTCTGCAGCCACACTCCCCAGGGCTTAAGCCTGGTGCTGCCGCTCACCAGCTGTGTGAACTCAGGCAAGTAACCCAACCGGCCTGGGCTCCACTTTCTTCAGCTAACCACTGGGGCTGTGAGAATAAAATGAGTCAGTGTATGGAAAACACTTAGGGGGATGTCTGCTTTGGTTAGCTAAGTGCTAATTATGCTCCGTAAATGAAAATGCTTTTATTACTGTAAGAAAGCATATTTATTCATAATATATATTGCTTCAAAGTTTGATTGAAGCATCTTCCCAAAACAATACATATTAAACAACAAAAAAAGAGAAAATGGAAAATGAAAGAGCAAAAATCCATTGGCAAGGGTAAAAGAAGTCAACATCCTGAGCACAGGAGTGACTGGATCTGCACCACGGGAGCCTTACGGAGATGGCCCTGAAACTTGCTGGCTGACATGATTTTCTTTGTCCAATAAAAGGAAAAACGTAGACTTTTCTTAAGAAACAAAATGTTTAAAGCACCGAATGCTAAGAGACATTTCTTATGTGGAGTGGATAGTTAGATTGGGAATTGCAGAGCAAATCAATAAGATCAGAAAATGACAAAATTATAGAGATGGAGAACACATCAGTGGTTTCCAGGGATTTGGGGTGGAGGAGGGGAGGGCTGTGACTATCCAGGGAGATCTTTGTGTCCCAGTCACATGGTGCTTCTATAGCTCTGCACAGGTGACACAATGGCACAGAAGCACACACACAATGGTACCAATGCTCAGACTCCCGGGGTGGGACACTATGTCATAGCCATGCAAGACTTAACCACCAAGGGGACATGGGGGAGGGGCAGCCTGACCCCTCCTTACTATTTTTTTGACCTGCTGTGAATCTATATTTCAAGACAAAAAGTTAAAAGAAGTATTCTTCAAATGGATATGACTTACACTGCCATATAACTTTCATTGTGTGGGTGGCCTGAGTGGTTATTTTCCTTTGAAAGTTACTTTGCTTAAAATGCTTCATGGATTTGTGTTTCCCTTCAGCCCCTCTAAAGTCTAAAGGGACCTGGCTATATCCCACAATCAAACAAACCACAGTTAAAGTTTATTTCAGACTTTCATTTTCCTTCCAGGCTCTTGTTTTCTGGCCAGCACTGGCCGTCTAGCTGTGACGTGCTCAGATTCCCATGGGTCCACCCAGACCACTCTCCGTCCCCACGTGGAGGCAGTTGTTTTAATTCTGGACTCCCGTGAGTTATGCCAGTATTTCTGGCTACTTTCTATACCAAGATTCTATTTATGTACAGTGACGTTCTCTCTCTTCCTACCTCTTTTATGCCAGTTATTCTCTGGTGCTGAGCTCTGAGCCTGAGGGAGGCGAGTACTGAGTTTATCTGAATTTATCTGAGTTGGTGAAAGGAGATGTTTTATTATATGGTAAGATAGGAGCCATTTCAGGTTTTCGTAACATTAGCCAGACAGGCACTGATCCTGCTTCGAGTATCAGCACCCACTCGGGGAGGCTGCGCTCTGATCTGGGGACACGGGACACGAGCACATACCTTTCATCTGCACGAAGTCGAGCTGGTGGATGGATTGCAGCAGTGGGCTGTTGTCCAGGCTCAAGTCGAAGTCCGTGGTCATCCGGGGTGTGAGTGTGCCCTTCCCCCACTGGTCCTCAGTCAGGTGCACTCTCCGTATGAGGGCGTCAGAAATCTAACCACACCAAAGACCACAGCCTGAGAAACCCAACACCATGCTGGACATGTGACACTGCACCTCAGCTCTGGGGTCCTGTCCCCAAACCCCCCTGGGATGCACACCTTGCCTGTTTCAGTGCTGTTGGTGAGGAGGACCCTGCTGTGACTAGAGTGACCAGGAGTTGGAACGACACAGTTGGAGGAAGGCACCGTAATAATTAGCAGGTGTTAACTGATCTAATAGATGGACCTGGCTATATGGTCATAGGATTAGGCATTTATGACTGACCGCTAAGAGCCAGCAACTTTAAAGAGTGACAGATTGGAGATTAGTGAAGTCCTATTAGAACCAACAAGTCTAAGCTTCTAATTTGAGGTGTGGGTATGCTATCAAGACTTGGAAATGAGTTTTATAAAATAGTTAGAGGCTGAAATTTCTTACATTTAAGCACATGATATTCATGCGAGTATAGCTCTGTGTCTTGGTAGAGAGAGAGCTCTTTCACTTCTTTCTATTCTTGTTTTTTCCCCTTGAGACAAGGTCCCTGTTGCCTGGGCTAGTGTGCAAGAGATTCTCCTGCCTCAGACTTCCAAGCAGTGGGAACTACAGACATTTACTACCACACCTGGCTGATCTTTCTATTTTTTTTTTTGTAGAGATGGGGTCTTTCTATGTTGCTCAGGCTGGTCTCTAACTCCTGTCCTCAAGTAATTCCCCTGCCTTGCCTCTTCCAGTGCAGGGATTACATGTGCCTGGCCTCCTTTCTTATATGTTCAATCTCCCTCTGTTAGTCTCGGCCAATTTAGCAGAAGAGCTGGACATGCTCCCTAAGAAAAGCTGCCTTATTACTGGGATCAAAACTTAAGCCAAACCCAGCTTATACCATAGCATCTGCTCACTGAAACAACACAGAATACTGTAAAAACCCCCAAACTTCACTGTATTTGAGAAATCACTGACTTCCTGGCCAGTAGGAGGTGTCAAGAAGGTAGAAATTTGGCAAACTTAAGACATTTCCAGCCAACAAAACTGTCCATAAGATATTAACAGAGTCCTTAGGTAAGGTGATCACTGCACTTTGGGAGAATGCACGTTTTCATGATTAAACACAAGAACAAAAGCAAATCCAGCAAAGCCCCACGCCCTTCTCAGTCTTATAGTACGTAGTGGCAGACACCTCTGGGAGTCCTCAGAGTTTAATTAGCACACTGCAGGGTGGGGGAGCTTCTGCCACTGGGGGATCCATGCCTGGCCCACATGGCCTGGGCTCGCTCCCATGGGACGTTCAAAATCTGAAGCAGAAACTGGTTAACACCTACCTGCAAAAAGCCACTTGGGTCATTTTCCTTAATCACCTCGAGGCAATATTCCATGAGGCCCGTGGTCTGCCGCAGCTTCACTGTGCAGTGAGAGATCTGGTCCCGAACCACCTGGGATTGAGGAGAGAACTGAACGGTCCAAAATGGCAGAGGGGAGATGAGAAGGACCTGGGATTTTGGAAAGTGTCTGCAAACTGGAACCAAAGAGCGTCCCAGACGAGAATATTCTGTGGCAACGTCTGTGGACGATGGCTCTGGAGGCAGATGGGAAGACGCTCAGAAAGGAGATTAGGAATAACAGGACCCACGAGGAAGGGACAGATGTTGGAGCCCTGTGGACATGGTGACCTTGGTGCATCAAGGTGCACCTTGCAGAAGTTTCCCTCAGCCCCTCTTTCCCAGGAAGCTGCTCGTGGGGAGTCTGTGAAGGAGCCGAAGCCCCCCAATGTGTGGCCACTGCTCTGCTTTGTGGCACGGCCACCCACTTTCCCACCTCTGCCTGTCTCCTCTTAAGGGTGGATGTCACCATCTGGACCCAGTTCCTGCCCCTCCCCATGACCCCAAGGGCATCCATTCTGTTTCTCTTTCCTTTGTGGGGGTCAGTGGGGAGCTGGAGGGCCAAGGGTGAGCTTGGGAGAGACCAAGAGAGAAGGACGAGTCAGCTGGAGGAAGAAGATGATGTAGAATTAAGTTTCATCAATGGAGTAATAGAAGTCGGAGACTCAAAAAGGGGGAGGAGTGAGAGATGGACAAGTACTTTCAGGGGTGCAGTGAACACTATTCAGATGATGGTCACAGCTTACAGCTATGCATTGTATCAACGTACCCCCTAAATTTATAAAAATGAAATAGAAATTAAACAACAATAACCTGCTTAGAATCCCTGGCCCATCTGGGAGAGCAGGTAGAAAGGCTTTCTATTCACCCAGCTCCGAGTTTGCTTTACCCGAGATTAACATCTCTCCTGGCACGCAGTTCCCACCCCTGGGAAGGCCTTTACCTAGTGACACATGAAAGACATTCCTTGAAAAGTTTCTTCCTGCAGAGTTTCTTCTTCTGTACCCTCTGCCCAGTGTCCCAGATCTTGAGTTTTGTTTTGTTTCCGAGATGAGGTCTTACCACGTTGCCCAAGCTGGTCTCCTGTTCTTAGGCTCCACTGATCCTCCTGCCTCAGCCTCCTGCATCCAGTTTTGAATGATTTTTGAAGCACAGTATTGAAGAAGGGTATTCCTGGAAACTTAATCACTTATAAGTACATCCTCAATATTTATACTGCCTTGCAAAAGCCTCAAAAATAGATAATGTTTTGGGGTTTATGGATAATAACTAAATGGAATTTTAATAATTATTTTAAAAAACTGTTTCTTGTTCTTTCTTTTCATTTATTAAAAATGTATTTTTCATTAAAGAGTATTCCATCCACTTTCCAAAACAACTGAGAAATAGATGAAAAAAAGAGGATGAAAAATTAGATGAAAAAATAATCTCATCATCCTAATGTAAAATTTTAAAGGATCATTTCGATATTTTCTCTTCATATTTTTTTTTTCTAGAACCAGACTTATTTTGGAAGTTGCAATTATGAAATATGACAATATTGTGCCCCCTCCAGACTAGGTCATAAGCATTTTCCATGTTGCCACCATCCATAAGTATTTTTGGCCACATAAAGACTCCAGTGAGTGGGTAATCATAATTTATTTAATTATTATTGTTACCCTATTATTGGATATTTAATTTCTATCTAGTTATTTTTATTTTTTAAAACCTCTGCTCCCCAGAAAGGTAAGGTTTGCGTTTTTTTGTTTTTTTTGCAGTTTTTGGCCAGGGCTGGGTTTGAACCTGCCACCTCTGGCATATGGGGCCAGTGCCCATCTCCTTTGAGCCACAGGCACCACCCTCTATCTAGTTTTTTTATAACTCATTTATTATTTCTTTTTGTTCCTCATTTTTTAAATTGTGGTAAAACATACATAAGATTTTCCAGTATAACCATTTTAAGTGCACAATTCTGTGCCATCAGTTACATACACATTGTTGTGTGACCTTCACCACCATCCATCTCCAGAACTTCTCATCTTCCCAAACTAAAACTCTGTCCCTGTTAAATAATAATGCCCCGTGTCTCCCTTCCTTCCATCCCCTGGCAACGACCCTTCTGTTTTCTCTCTCGATGAATTTGACTGTGCCAGGAACCCCATCCGAGTGGAATCACATAGCATTTGTCCTTAGAGATTGGCTTATTTCACTTAGGATAACGTCTTCCAGATTCAACCATGTTGCAGCTTGTGCTTAAATTTTTATCTTAAGACTAACAGTCTTGTGTATGGATATGGCACATTTGTTTTCTCCGTTCATGTATAGATGAATACTTGGATTGCTTCCACATTTTAGTTATTCAGAATAAAGGTGTTTTAAACATGTAGGGATGGTGCAACCACATAAATGATCATGGGAGACACAGATTGACAGTACACGCTGCAAGTGGTGAGGCTAACCATAGGTGCAGGATAGCCCTGAGCACTTCTCGCAGAGTCCTTTTATCGAGAAGATACATAATGGGTGGAAAGATACTAAGCAAAGACATGCAGGGGCTGCATGCTCAGGGAAATGATCTCATAGGTGCCATCAGAGTATGTACTCAAGGAAATGACCTTCAAGGGTGGTAAGGGAAATGATCTCCAAAATACTACATGCAATTTTTTCTCCACTAATCCTTCAAAGAACTGCCATAAAATGCTTAATATTTAACATTAGCCTTACTACTACAGCACCGAACTTTGCTCCTCCAGGATTACTGAGTTACTGGGTGGCTTGCCTTCCAAGTCACAAGAGATTTCCAGGCTTGTCAGGAGAATGTCTTGTTCTCAGTAATTCCTCAGATAAATTATGATATTGGTGGCTGTTGTGGTAAGTATGATGTTTAATCCCCTATATGGGGACAGATACCTGGATGAGTCTCTGGTTTCACTTCTTTGGGGATCATATGGTAATTCTGTGTTTAATTTTTGAGGAAGCACCAGAATTTTTCCCCAGCAGCTGTAACATGTTAGGTTCCCACAAGCAACGCACAAGGGTTCCATTTTCTTCACCAACACTTATTATTTCCTTACTTTCTTTTTTAAAAATGTAGCCATCCTGGGTGCAAAGTGGTACCTCATTGTGGTTTTGATTTGCATTTCCCTAATGACTAATCATGGTGAGCATCTTTTATTTTGAGACAGAGTCTCAAGCTGTTGCCCTAGGTAGAGTGCAGTGGCATCACAGCTCTCAGTAACCTCAAACTCTTGGGCTTAAGTGATTCTCTTGCCTCAGCCTCCCAGTAGCTGGGACTACAGGTGCCCACCTGGCTTTTTTTTTGTTGTTGTAGTTGTCGTTGTTTAGCAGGTCTGGGCCAGGTTTTTTTGTTTTTTTTTTTGGTAGAGACAGAGTCTCACTTTATTGCCCTTGGTAGAGTGCTGTGGCATCACACAGTTCTCAGCCACCTCCAACTCCTGGGCTTAGGTGATTCTCTTGCCTCAACCTCCTGAGTAGCTGGGACTACAGGCATCCACCACTACGCCTGGCTGGTCTGGGCCAGGTTTGAACCCGCCGGCCCCCATATACGTGATTGGCACCCTAACCACTGAACTGCAGGTGCTGAGCCCAGTGTATCTTCTTTGGAGATCAAGTCTTTGCCCATTTTTAAAAACAGGCTGTCCTGCTGCTGCTGTTGCTGTCAAGTTTATAGGCATTCATTAGATATTCTGGATGGCCATCCCTGATCAGCCGTGTGATTTGTAAATACTGTTCCCTGGGTTGCTTTTTCACTCCTTTTCACTTCTTGTGTCCCATTAGGTCACAGATATTTTCAATTTTTATGAAGTCTAACTTATTTATATTTTCTTTTGTTTCCTGTGCTTTTGATGTCATATGCAAGAAATGACTGGCAAACCCAACGTCCTGAACCTTTCTTGTAAGAGTTTTACGGTTTTAGGTTTTGCACTTAGTACTTTGATTTATTTGGAGTTAATTTTTGTATAGGGTATTAGATTAACTGTCTAATTTTTGTATATGGTGTTAGGTAAACATCTACTAATTTTTTGGTATATGGATATCCAGTTTCCCCCACACTGTTAAAATGTCCTTTCTCCCTCGAATGGTCTTTGCATTCTTGTGGAAAATCATTTGACCACATACATGAAGATTTACTTCTAGACTTTCTATTCTGTTCCAGTGGTCTAGGTATTTATCTTTATGCCAGGGTCACACTGTTTTGATTATTGTAGCTTTGTCCTAAGTTTTGAAATCAGGAAATATGAGACCTCCAGCTTTGTTCTTCTTTTTCAAGATTGTTTTGGCTCTTTGGGTCTTCTAATTTTCTAACAGATGATTTATTATTGGTTTTTAACTTTTTAACAGTTAAAAGGAAAAATAAGTTATTGTATTTAAAATCTCTTTATTATAATTGGTAAAAGAAACCAACTATGATGTAAAAATTATTTTTGTAATTTTTTTGGGGGAGAGATTAAATTTAAAATTCACTGGTCGATTTATTTTCTTCTGATATCTAGTATGCTTTTGATAACCACCAGCACCATGTGCTGGCATGCAATGAAGGAACGCAGATTATATTATTTTTTATTCAGAAAATAACAGGAATACTGGGCTTCTACTTCTTGGAGTAAAAGAAAACTCCACAAATAAAACATTTAAAAATCCCAGACAGGTAATCTACAGCTAATATGCTTTTCTCCTCTGCTATACGCAGCTTAACTGAATTGTTCCCTGAAGACAGTTTTATATTTTGGTAGCCATATATTGATGCTGCTAGGTATGAGAAACCTCAGAAGTCACCATTTCATTATCCAAATGGTATCTGTCCCCTGACTACCGGTACTAAAAGGATGAATAATACTAAGTAGAGCCTAGACTGAGTACTATCACTGAAAGTAAGTTTGCTTTTGAGACAGAATAGACGGAATTGTTGTTTTACTTCCAGAGGATTAAGCTCAATGACACATACGTGTATTGAAATAAAGATATTACTCGGTCCTTATAGGATTCTCTGTTGCTTCTGTAAATTTCCTTCTTGAGCAAAGTTTATTAGGTGCTAAAGGGGTGCCTGAGGG